CAGCCAACGCATGATCAACAGCGTTGCGTGAAAAACTTTGACTGAAAATTTTCAACGTCACAGACAATAGGAAAGAGAAAACGAAAAAGTTTACCTAGCACCCTGAAGCATGAAGGACAATTGCATCATGATGCTCGAGTTCTGCAAAGAAAAAAGTGGTCCCTCGAGAGAAAAGAGAAGTCAGTATCGTTATTTAGCTTAGACTGCTTACATAAAAGAATACCCCTCATTCGGCGATAAGCACGTGGTGGGGCAGCCCAGCGTCAGGTACCGAATGACCGTCCAGGCATCGTGCAGCAGTGACGTCTCTCCTTTCCGCGCCCCTCCAGCGTCCAGTGCTGGCCCCCTCCAAGACCCCGTTCCATCGTCCGCCCAGCCGCTGGTGTGGTGTTGTGTTTGACGCTCAACGGCTTTACCGCTCGAGTCGACCGACAATTAAACGGGTCTCGCGTTCCACACACCATACACTGGAACTTTTGCAGCCGGGTCGTTCGTCAGACCGCGTCTTTTCCTGAACTACAAAGGCCACCACCTTCTGGAAAACTTCGATCCCGTTCGCCACATGACTCGTTTTTTCTCCGGCTTGCCTAGCTTACAACTTGCTCACCTTGCGCCGTCAGATTCCTCGGGCCGACTGACGAGCTAAAAGCTGCTGCCGCTGCATTCGCTTCCGCCCATATCGATACCCTTGGCCGGCACATTGAGACCCTGGACCGCCACTTCGAAGGAGAATCTCGTGATACTTCGACTTGACGAGCTGTGTTCGACTCGCCGCGCAACACCATCTGCTTGAATCATACAGAGCTCCAAGACACATAGCGCTACATACACCATGGTCGCCTCTGAGCTGTCGCAGGCGGCGCGGGCCGAGCAACACCAGTCGCAGCTCACAGCAGAGCTGAAGGACGATGCGCCGCAGACTGTCCCGCTGGTGAACCGAGTCGGCCAGAGCAAGAGCCCCTACGTCCGCAGCCATGCCGAGGGCAAGGTTGCGTGGCAGCTGCTCGACGACGAGACGATCGACCGGGCGAAGAAGGAGAACAAGTTGATCTTTCTCCACATCGGCTTCAAAGCCTGCCACTGTGAGCAACATGCCATCCAACGGGCCTGGGAACTTCGCTGACTCTCGCACCTCCAGATTCGCGACTCACATCTACCGAATGTTTCACCCACTCAGAATGCGCCAAGATCCTGAACGAGTCCTTCATCCCCGTCATCATCGACCGCGAGGAGCGCCCCGAGCTCGATACTATATACATGAACTACGTCCAGGCCGTCAGCGGGAACGGTGGCTGGCCGCTGAACCTCTTCCTCACCCCCGAGCTTGAGCCAGTTTTCGGCGGCACCTACTACCCCGCACCGGAGCCGAACAACGGCAGCTCCGGAGACGATGAGCGTCTGGATTTCTTGGCTATCCTGAAAAAGCTACAAAAGGTCTGGAAGGAGCAGGAGGCGAGGTGCAGGCAGGAAGCGAAGGAGGTTGTGGTGAAGCTACACGATTTCGCCGCCGAGGGAACCCTTGGGGCCACCAGTACCGTTGAGCCTGGCGTCGCAGGCTCGCAAAGTGCTACACTCGCGAGATCTGAGACTGGCCTGGAGCACCCTGGAACGGGCAGGACGGCTGCTGTGGTGTCAAGCGAGCTTGACCTTGAGCATTTGGAAGAGGCCTACACGCATATTGCCGGCACTTTCGACCCTGTGTACGGCGGTTTCGGCCTTGCGCCCAAGTTCCCCACCCCGCCGAAGCTGTCCTTTTTGCTGCGTTTGCCGAGATACCTTGCCCCTGTGCAGGATGTGGTTGGCGAGACCGAGTGCGCGCACTCAGCTGAGATGGCTCTCTTCACGCTGCGTAAGATTCGCGACAGCGGTCTGCGCGACCACGTCGGAGGCCACGGCTTTGCGCGGTACTCCGTCACAGCCGACTGGAGTGTGCCGCGCTTCGAGAAGCTGGTCGTACACAACGCATTGCTCCTTGGCCTGTACCTGGATGCTTGGCTGATCGCTACCGGCGGCGAGAAGAACGGAGAGTTCTACGATGTCGTAGTCGAGCTGGTGGACTACCTTACCAGCGCCCCAATCAGCTTGCCCGATGGTGGTTTCGTCTCAAGTGAGGCAGCAGACTCATACCGTCGCGGTGACAGACACCTGCGGGAGGGAGCATACAGCCTGTGGACAAGAAGGGAGTTCGACTCGGTCATCGGCGACGACCACGAGGCTGCGCTGGCCGCTTCGTACTGGAACGTCCTCGAGGACGGCAACATCGAGCCCGACCAGGACCCGAACGACGAATTCGTAAACGAGAACATCTTGCGCGTCGTTAAGGATAAGGCCGAGATCGGACGACAGGCTGGCATCACCATCGACGACGTCGAGAGAGTGTTGGCTTCAGCCAAGCAAAAGCTCAAGGCCCACAGAGAAAAGGAACGCACGAGACCTGAAGCCGACACTAAGATTGTCGCAGGACGTAATGGCCTTGTGATTGGTGCTCTGGCGAGAACAGGATCAGCCTTGGCGCCTATTGACGCCGACAGAAGCAATGCATGCTTCGAAGCAGCGAGCAAGGCTGCGGCATTCATTAGAGCTCACCTATGGGATGAGAACGAGAAGATTCTTTACAGGATATACAATGAGGGCCGCGGTGACGCGAAGGGTCTGGCTGATGACTACGCACACCTCATCGAGGGTCTGATCGACTTGTATGAGGCTACTGGAGAGGAGAAATGGGCTGAGTTTGCGGATGAGCTGCAGAGTGAGTTGCATTCTACATGATTTTATTGGCGCCACTGACACATCCACAGAGGTCCAAATCGACATTTTCTACGATAGCACTTCAGTGCCAGCTACGACCCCAACTTCCCCCACCGCCCGCTCCTCATGCGGCGCTTTCTACACAACCCCCGAAAACGCCCCGCACACGATCCTCCGCCTGAAGGACGGCATGGACACGGCGCTCCCCTCGACCAACGCGGTCTCCGTCTCCAACCTCTTCCGCCTCGGCATCATGCTCAGCGACGAAGCCTACACCGCCCTCGCCCGCGAGTCTATCAACGCCTTCGAGGCCGAGATCCTGCAGTACCCCTGGTTATTCCCAGGCCTGCTCTCTGGTGTCGTCACCGCTCGGCTTGGCGGCGCGACGTGGGTCATTATCCGCAAGGATGGCGTCAACGATGACGAGATCGCGACGAAGCTGCTGCGAAAGCTTCACTCCGAGGCCAGGGGCGGGTTGCGGAACATCATTGTGTTGAAGAGCGAGGACGACGCGTTGGCGAAGAGGAGCCCTGCGCTGAAGGAACTTGTGACGACGCAGAAGCCTGGAGCGTACAGGCTTGAGAACGGTATTTACCGTCCTGTCAACAGGGCTGATGTAGCGTGATCTGTCGAGTTTTGAGAAAAGTATTTTGATTCTGTGAGGTTGTCGAGGGCGAGGAGTTTGGGGTGTTTATTACCCATAGATATGAGAACTGGTCGAATGAATGTATGTAGCTCCGGTTTTGATGCTGTGAATGACTGCAAATTACTTGTCTTCTATCTTCGTTGCTTCCCTTGCGGTCATGGACCTATTGGATCAAATAATTCTGACCCATGTCTTTGGCAGCGCTTCGATAAATTTTATGCCTTCCTCTTGGCCGTTGGCTGATATGGACCCTAGTCTCCGATATCTGTCGTTTTCTGTCAATGCAAGTACAAGACCCCTCATAGATGCGCCATCGACATCAGAGTATCCAAGTCCAGTATCGTAATATGTCCAGAGAAGGAAAGCCTCTCCAGTCACGTCATTCAAGGTGTCAAACCAAACGTGACCTCTAAGTCCTGGTAAAGGAGATACCATAGCCGAATTGGGACCCGTCTTAGCTTGGAGTTGCAGTTTCGCCCACATGCATGGTCCTTCTAGAGTCAAAATGCCACTCTTGACTTCGCCAGTCTCCTCCTTACTGAGATATACCATTTCTGCCGAAATCATTGAGGTGAGTTCGACACATTTACCGACTTTCGTCATCATCGTACCCGGCCTTACTTTTCCGTCAAGACATGCCCAAGACCACGATGGTGCTCTGTACTGGCTGGCTCTCTTGGCCGAGCCGCTTACAAACCAAGTCAGTTGACGTATCGATTCGTCCTCCCAAAGACCGGCTAGATAGCGATGCAGTCCCGGCTGCCACTCGTTAAGCCTCTTCCGCATGTCGTTTGCAAGTCCAGACAATGCCACAAGTTTGTCGCTGGCCCTTGTGAGTTGTAGGTTTGCGTAGTGTTCGACTATTACATCCCATTCGAAAAATAACTGGTGCCGATGGGACGGTCTATTGTTATTGCGGTCTGCGGCCAGCAGTTGCTTCCACGGCTTCTCAGTTGGGGTTGGCGTTTCCTTCGGATCACCTTGACAGGAGTCCATTCCCTTCGGGTGCATCTCACAACAGGCTCTTGCGCGGCACTCCCAGAATACCTGCTTCGACCCAAAATACAGGGTGCGGGGTGCTAGAAGTCTCTCCTGCACAACCCATGACCGTTGACACAGGGGTTCGTGCTGAAATATGTATCTCCACGACCACAATTCCTCTCTGTCATACATAAAGTTCGTCATTTTGCCGCCTGGCTCCATCTTGAAGCTGAAGACAGTCGGCCCTGCTTTTGCTGGGTCTCGCTCAAAGAAACATCCACCCTCGTCATCTCTCGCACCAAGAGCTCCGATACCAATGTACGCGTTTCGATACACGTCTTGCATAGTGGAGGCTTCATGACGCCAATCCTCGGCTGAGTCCTGGAAAATGCAGAGACGGTCTATCCACAGGTAGTGAATACCAAGTCGTTGGGCTACGTTCATAGCATCTCTGAATGTCTTCGGCAATCCATCAACTGGCTGCCATTCGCTCAAACCACTCATGGTTGATCGAAGTAATCGTAGAAGGCTGTGTGCAGGCTTTGAACCCCAGCAGTAGCTAAGTGCTGCGTACTGTATAGCTGTAGGGCATTCAGAGCCTTGTACCAACCGGAATGAGCTCAACTCATTCATTTGCAATAGACGAGTAGGTCGATAGGATGTCGCTAAGTCTGGCTGCCGACACGCTTGGTGAGACTCGGTGCATGTTTGCATCCAATCACCGATGACAGACCATGTACTAGCGCTGTTGGTTGATGCTTCATACTCGAAATTTATGTTCCGATCAGCTTTGATATCTTCGTACAGATTGTCAGTTTTCTGATTACTTAAGGGATACTAGAATCCGTCTTTGTGATTTGATGTCTTACCTACAACTTTGATCGTAGAACCCGTACGACGATCCGTCTTGGCCAAAATTTGTATCGACAAGAAGTGGTATTCCCAATCTATATCCATACTGAAGACTGAGAAACAGCACCCGGAATTTTCCTCCTCTTCTTGAAGCGAGCTCGGTATGTCGATATTACCCCACCTATAGAAATAGTTGCACATGGCACACCCATCATGCACCGAGGCCATAAAAGACGCCGCAGTCTTGTGATGAATGAATAAGCATTCAGAGGGGTCAAGTTCGGCAAAATTATCCCTGTCTATTGAATTATTCGTCACGTATTCATAGGCATCGATCATATCAACTCATATCTTTGCATACCTTCAGGGAGAGATGACCAATACTTTGCGAAACCATCTCTTGGCTCCTTGCTGCTCCCCCACTGTGCCTCCAATTCTTTGAACTTGCCCACACGCTTGGTGCGGCTGGGATCCCATATCTCTTCGATGCCCTCCTTGCACACGTCGCAAAACATGTTGGTCAGGTCGAGGGGGAAGGGTTCCAAGGAGGAGCAGGTGTTCGCACTAATAATTGGCGGCAGTAAATTTTGAGGCTTGACTCAGACAGACAGTGATGTTGCAAATGTGTGGGGTCTGGTTCTTAAAGTAAGCTTACTGCTGGCAGCCTGATTGCGTCTGCCAACACCAACCCCCTTGATGCTACACCTCGCCTACTTCTTAAGTCCCACATCATCGGCGATTGAACGATTATCAATCCTAGAGCGGGTCAGCTGTTTGAAAAGTCGTCTGAGTACTCACTGTACTGAAAAGGGGACTAAGTTCCATGTTACTTCGACAGGGCACCGTCTTAACGATAATTCTTAAGGAATTTGGTATGACAAGGGAAAGCGCGCAAGTCCTATATTTCTTTGCAGAAACGGGAAGATCAAACGTCAAAACGAATGCATATCGAAGTGGCCACTATGAAGTCTATGCTAAATATTCAATCATGCTTCATTTGCGGGGCCAGATGCATATCAACCCTAGAAGACACCCCAGGAAGAGGCCCTCTTGGCTGCCTCATTGTGTGCCAACGAAAGCCTGTTGCAACGAATATGCACCTGCTGCCCAATGAGCTTTTGTTCAGTGAGCCCAGAAATTAATTACATAACGCTACGTGAAAATTGCCCCGCCGTCTCCCTGGCGTAGTGGCTGACGGCCCCCAGATGCTTGCGTCACCGGCGATCTCGACTTAACGCACAGCCTGTTTAACAGTCGAATTTGAACAGATGAAGACTTGGAGACGCCGCTTATAAAAGGAAACACTCAAATTACAAGGCGCGATAATAATAGACGATGGTATGCATTATCTGTCATGCAGGTACTTGGCCGCAGCACTTCAACTCGTCCGTCTTGTTAAGATGGCTAGGCAACGCAGCTGGGCACATCCAGAAAACCGCATTCATACGTGTCATAACTGACTTCGAAGCGTGAGAATGATTCAGATTTTCAATAACTTATGTCACATTATCTTTCTTTCTGTCCATTAGCCAGTGTCAATCAACAGTTGCCTTCACTAACGTGTAGTAGGTCTGGATATCCGGGGCGCAAGCCAAAACTAATAGCAACCAAAGACACTAGACAGCGATGCAAAGCCTTTTGGCTCTAAGAGAAATGGAGAATGTGAAAGGGACCTGTAATAGTCCTTAGGCAGCTTCAAAGTAAGTTTTTTTCTGTCTAGTGTTGTAACGAAGATAGGATGTTGACCTTTTTGTATTATAAACTTCAAGCTGTTGCAGCAAAGCTTTTCCTTGGATACATCATGAGAATACTCAATACTCAGGCTGACTAGGTATTATCATTACGACGAGGATAGTTACGCTGTTTTCTTTCATTTTTGTAGCCATCTATTCAAGAGTCATCTTTCTAGTCGGCAACAAAATATGTCCTATCGACATATGATGAGACAGTGTCTTTCGCTCTATTATGCGAAGCCCAAGTACCTTTATATCACCACTGTCCCCCGATTTAGGACTCAAGTTTTGCTGTCAACATTAATTCCTACCCTGGCTGGCGTCAGTGTGTGTAGCCGGCGACACATAGCGACAATGATGACAATGACGACAGCAATATAGAGAATGATAAGTGGCCCAGTAACAGATTTTGACGTCGCGTCTGTCACTCAATGACTCCGTATATTGTAGATCCAAATCTTCTCATGTTCTGCATTACACATTGGTCTTAAATAGGTTCGATGCTAGGTGAAAACAACACAAGAATTCTTCCAATAGTGATTTACCAGACGTATCTCAAGCATCTACTGAGAATACGTATGCCTGCCCAATGAACGCCACGTTGGGGTTTTTTTGTCATCAATGGCGCTGCAATCTAGGCGTCGTTCATTCTCAAGCCAGAATGCCTATCGGCACGGCACGACGAGGGTGTTTCCGGGCTTGATTTGATCCGGGTTAGGGATACTGTTGATGGTCGCAAGCTGGGTGGCAGTGGTGCCAAAGTCTGTAGCAATGTCGTTCAGGTTGTCTCCGCTGGCGATGGTGTACGTGCCGAATCCAGGGTGAGCGATGTCTGGTTTGCATCCGCGTCTGGCCTCAGTCAAGCCCGCGAGAGCGCTCATGGCGACGAAGAGAATGGATGAGGTTTTCATTGTAATGAATTATGTTGGTAAATTACCGGAGTAAATTTTTTGATAGAGATTACGTTGATTGAGAGGTTTGTGGTTTGGCTACCTGCCATAGAGAGAGTAGAGGCATGGGTTGCAACTGTGTTTTATGTCGTCCGGCAGTCCGATGTCATCCGTCATCATCATGGCTGAGTGCGTCGCTTTGACTGCAAACCTCGAACACATGACGCCACCGCCGATGCAGTTGCCTAATAGGTGTGGCAGTGTCCAAAAACTCTATTCAATAAAATCTCATTCGTTGTATGCGTTACGGCTGCAATCAATGCAAACTGTACATCGGCTCAAGTGTGCCGATGGCCTTGTGGTCCCGCAGAGTGCATACTGCTGACGTTCTCGCATCACATGCCACCCCAGTGCTTGCCTCTCTTGTAGAACCACGGTTGTCCAACTTGGAATCTTATTGGCATGAGACAGCTCGTTGCAGACCTGTTTCCAGGCTTGTAAGTTGTTGATTCAGACTATGTACGTAAACCTTGCACACAATTGGTACTACTGATCGGCACCTTAACCACGTTCTGTTGGTATTATAATTCAAGAGCCTTAAAGCCTCACGCGGAGTTCTTACCTTATGATCTTGTGACAGGTCTATGAGATACCATCAGACATCTTGCATGCGAGACCAGAATTGCGCTCGGCACCCCCTGCATATCATGCCCATCGCCACGATGCTGCCGCGCGTCAAATGTCTGTCCCGCACAGCCGAAGTCGAACTCCATGGCGATGGAAAGATGCCGATTTCTCCGTTTACTCTTCACGCTTGTGTCTTTGGAGGCTCTGATGGTATAGATCGGGGTTCGGGCACCTGAACCACCACAGCTTGAACAAGGTTGAGTCACGAGTGTACAGCCCAGCCGGTAGCGACATTCTTTTTGACAGTTTCAGTTGATATGATACCAGCAGAAGTTGAATCACATAGTGTCTGAGGATCATAAACTAATTTTGTTTAGCAGAATATGGGTGCACACGTACACATGAGCCTTATGAGAGCATTCTTATGACCATGTCAAGTTGGGGTCAGAATACCTCTGGCAACTTTTAACTAACTTCATGATATGACAGTTGCCAATTCAATGGTAAACCCTAATAAATCCACCTAGGCTTCAGTTGACGCTGGCATGTAAGTACGAACATTTCTGTTCAGCAGGCGATTTGTGGTAACAAGTCACTCTCTATGTCCGCCTTCAAGACGCCGCAGGTGGCTCGAAGGATAGCATCAAAGGTGCAACTTCATGAGAATCTCATCTGAGCTGGGCCGAGCTGCCAGAGAAGATGCGAAACTAGGAGATTATAGGTATCTCGAATCATTTAAAATTCACGTCGATTATGGAGACTAAATGGCCTCTATTTAACGGCCATCATAAACACCACCAGGTTACGTTCATGATTCTCTTTGAATAAGTGAGATTTGATAAACCATTGACGTGTTATACGTCATATGTGATACGACTACTGCGGCTTTCTGTCATAAAAAAAATGACTTTTTGTTGCCTATAATTAGTCCGCAGTTTTCCATCAGCACGCCCAAACGGCGCCTGTCACTACACCTAACAAGCTCCCGGTTGCAACGGACATGTCGGAACGAAGAAGGAACAATCCAATGGCACCATAATTCGGCCGAGCGGAGGCCAACAGCAAGCCTCTCACAATAGGCTTCTAACACTTCTGATTGGTCTGCTCGGACACTCAGATTGAGTTGGATAAAATTTCGCTTCATTCCGGGGGTTGACATGGATGTTAGTACGGATTGTGGATCATACGCGGTTCTCATAGCCTCAAGTCGGTCTCGGCCCGCTCGGTCCAGTCCAGTGTGGCAACGTCTTGAGATTTGTTCCCACTTAGCTGGGAGCCCAATATCATGAGGTTAAATCGCTTTGCGGAGCAAGCTTTCGCCAAGCTTGCCTTCCCGGCTTCCGTTCTTCGCCAAGTGCCTGTTAAGCTCGAGATCTTCACAGAATGTCTTCTCATGTGTACCTCTTCGAAAATGGCGGGCATGCTTGTAGAGCCGCAGCAAGTACCTCATCAAGCCAAATCAAGGTGAGGTAGGGCGAATCGAGTGTAACTGTTCTTCATCCAACTCTGTGCGTTTTGATGATCTGTGTCGCCTGCCCCCTGGGTGAGTATTTTCCGCACTTTCCGTCTTAATCCGCGGGTCTCCATCCAGGGCTACACCAGGCAACAATCTGAACATCCAGGCTGAGACCGTAACCTACCATGTCAGGAACTGAAAGAGACTAGCCATTACTCCACAGCTGAGTCTAGAAGTTGATGATTTCCAAAGGCTGGATCGGGATCATTCTGCCCGCACCCACTGTACGAGACATCAAACCATTTTCTGCTAGTTTCTCTTTCCTGCGCATAATTCCTCGAGCAATTGTCAGCGACTAGCATGTTCTTTCCAATACGAGGTTTCAGGCAAAAGTCCCTCGGCCGAGGTGCAGCTGAAGTCTGGGACGCAGGTCCAGAATCACAAGTAAAGTTCCACAGAAGATTCATGGAATAGCACTCGGAAAGAGGGCCACAAATGTGGTGCTATATAAGTTGAGAACACTTCCTGCTCATCAACAGCATATTGTTCACCAACTCATCCATCACGCTCTTTATTGCCAACCTTATTTGGCATCATGGTCGGCAGACAGTTGCTTGTGGCCGCTCTGACGGCCGCCACTTTTCTCCATGGCGGAATCTGTGAACGCCCTCCTTCTCTCACCCATCAGAACCCATACGCGGATGCTGGCCGAGACCCTTTGGCCGACTACATGGACCTCAGAGACAATGTTACTGAATACATGCCGGAGCGCCGGAGATCGCCTCAACCGGTCTCCGAATGGCAGAATC